ACACGTCACATGGGAAGCTCTCCTGGAGGAGCGTGAGGTTCCCTGGTGCGGGCGAGGGGGGCGTTAAACGTTCACAGAAGTAACTGTCATGCCACATGTCAGTCGGGACAGAGGGACGGATGATGGCAGTGGAGAGCTGGGAGGGAAGGTGGTCTCTAGCCTGGCGGGGTCAGGAACGTCTCGGGTAAAGTGACTCTTGTAGCGTTGACGACCTGGGAGAAAGGTATTCTGGGTATCAGGTCCTGTTTCTGATGGGAGTCGTGGGGAGTAAACCCCAGGCCCCCGCCCCGCTGGGTTAAACCCGCAGTGACATACCCACCTCTGTGTCCTGCCCGGGTGCCACCGGGGCTGCTGGGAGCAGGGCAGGCAGCCAGGTGGCCCCAACCAAGGTCATGGAGACCTGCTGTGCCCCAGGCCTGATGAACACTGGCTAAAGTCGTAACAGTAGAAGTAGTAATCAGAGGACTGCTAGTACCACCCCAAACCTGGCGATGTAGCTTTTCTTTTAAATGTCCAAATTAGTTTTCTGATGAAATGGTAAAAATTCCACATTTGAGCATTTTATTAAATTTCAAAGACTGCGTCTCTCACCTTCCCGTGGGCCTCCTCGGGCCACCCTACGGACTGGTGGCAACCCCCATTTAATCCAGTGATTATAGCTCAGTGAGCATGAGCGAGACTGGAGAATTAGGCCAGGAAGCACGTGGCGTCTTCGGGCTTCTGACAGAGCAAGGTCACCGTTTGCCCTTGAGGCGCGCCAACACCCTTGAGTAGCCCAACGCCCTTGAAAGTTAGAGCGAAGTGTCAGCGGTGAAGGGTCCCCAGACTAGAGCCCACCGGCCAAAGCTGGCCAACTGCCTGTTTTTGTGCACAGACTTTTCTCTGACCACAGCTGTGCCACTCACAGGCTCCAGGATGTGTGGGCCACTCATCATGGATTTCACTGCAGAGTTGAGTCATTGCAGCAGGGACCCTGTGGCCCCCAAGGGCTGGAGTGGTGGCTCTCAGGCTTCCATAGA